TGGAGAGATCTGTTTAATTGTTTTTTCATTCAGGGGATTTCTCTTGTTCTTTTAATTGGAAGTGGTTCCTCTGATTCTTCATTTTATATTTCTGTGACTCTACGAATTTAGGAGAAACAGTTATCTACTGTGGTCTTGAAGGGCTGTTTTTATGTGGGACCCTCCCTGTCTAGCCTGTGTGAGTCTAATATTTTTGGTTAGAGGGCTGTTTTTAGTATGGATGCCTTCCTTGGCTTTCCTCAGTGTGTGCTGCCTGTTATCCTCTTGATGTGGGGTGTGGCTGGTGTTGGGGTGATCAGAGCCTGCACTGGATGTTGAGCGGGGCCTCCGTTTTGCTCTGTGGTTTACACAGCCCTGTTGCGGGTAGGGTCTGTTCCCCAACTGTTGGAGTAGAAGCTTCCTGATCCGTTTCTAAGCTGTGGTGTGAGGTAGGTGGGACTGAAACACTTCCACTGGAAGAAGAGCCACTGAGTGTTCCTCCACAGGAGCTGTCTATTGGGAAGTGCACTCTGTGGTCTAGCCCATTACCTGTTGTGTGGGCTCACAAAGTATACTGTTGTTGGCACTGCCCTTGGCCCTGCCTCAGCCTTGAGAATGCAAGCAATCAGCCCAGATGTCTCTCAGGCGCTGTGCTCACCAGTCCACCAGCATAGATAGGCTGGCACAGATCCACTGAAATCAGGCACTGGGACCAGCCGAGACTTATGGAGTCAACCCACACCTCGACCCTGCCTCTGTGTGTTCTGGAAGCTGCTAATGCTGGATCCACCCAGCCACAGGAGTACCAGTAGTCTGCTCGAATGTTCCGTAGGCACTGAGCTTACAAAGGAGATGATGGCATAAAACCTCAAAAGCCACCAGGACACTGCTCAAATTTCAGCCCCGCTTCGAAAGTTGTGCGGTTCCTGGGGATCAGCACAGATTTCAGCCTTGCCTCTGAGTGTGGACAGCCCATGGTGCTTGTGTACTCCCAGAGCTCACAGAGGCAGAGCTGTGCCCACTGCAAGCATGTTTTGGTGGGGCTCCACCCTTCCCTTCTTGCACACACTAACAATGGGGCTTCAATGGGAGACTTGGGCTCTGTCCTGCATACCCCCAGTTGCAGCCTAAGGCACACTCCAGCCCCTTCAGGCTGAAATAGGTAATTATGTTCCATCTTTTGTGTGTGTGTGTAAGTCTTTTATCTCTGTCTGTCTCTTTTCTGGTCAGTTTAGCTAAAGGATTGTCAATTTTCTTGATCTCTTTAGAGAATCAAATTTTAGTTTAATTGATTTTCTATATTTTTCTCTTTTCTATGTCATTAATTTCTGCTCAAACCTTTATTATCTCTTTCTTTCTTTTTGCTTCAGCTTCAGGTTGTTCTTTTATTCTGTGACTTAAGGTGAATGGTTAGGTTAGTGATTTCATATATTCTTTTTTAATATAGCTGCTCGTAGGTATAAATTTCCCTCTCTGCTCTGCTTAGGCTTCATCTCAGAAGTTTTGATGTGTTGTATTATACATTGTTCTACAATTGTTGAACGATGTTGTGAACACTGTTCATTGTATGAATGGCATTGTAGCATACACTGTTCTACAATATTCTTGTTTTTTTCTTTCACCCATTTGTTATTTAGTCAAGGGTATATATTATATATATATATGTGTGTGTGTGTGTGTGTATATATATATATATATATATATATATATATACAAACTCACATATGTATAAAATTTGTTACATTAGCCTTTCTGCTTCTGATTTGTGGTTCTCTTCCTTTGTTCTTGTGGACTCAGGTTGCCATTTGGTGTCATTTTCTTCCTCCAGTGTAACCTTGTTCCCATATACCTTCTTTGTGTTATTATTTTCAAATATATTATATATCCCATATTACAATTATATACATATTACTTTTTACATTGCTTTTTTAACCAGTTAAGATTGGAGAGGAAATATGCAATTATACTGTCTTTTATAATTATCTACGTTAATTACTTTTCCTTGTAATCTTTTTTTTTGTGTGTAGATTCATATTACTCTCTTTCAGCCTGAAGAACTTAAGTATTTTTTGAAAGGGAGCTCTGCTAGCAACACATTCTGTCAGTTTTTGTTATCTGGAAACATCTTTATTTCACCTCCATTTTTTTTTTTTTTTTTTTTTTTTTTTTTTTTTTTGTGGTACGCGGGCCTCTCACTGTTGTGGCCTCTCCAGTTGCGGAGCACAGGCTCCGGACGCGCAGGCTCAGCGGCCATGGCTCACGGGCCCAGCCACTCCGCGGCATGCGGGATCTTCCTGGACCGGGGCACGAACCCGTGTCCCTTGCATCGGCAGGCGGACTCTCAACCACTCCGCCACCAGGGAAGCCCTCACCTCCATTTTTGAAAGATAATTTTGATGAACTTTGATTCTTGGTTAACAGGGTTGTTGTTTTTTTTCCCACTACATTAAGTATGTCATTCCACTACCTTTTGGCTTCATTGTCTTTGGTAAGAAAGTCAGCTATTAATCTTATTGGGGCTCCCTTGTATACAATGAATCATTTTCCTCTTGCTGCTTTCAATATATTTTTTTTTGATTTTAGCATTTTTACCTTGATGTGTCTGGGAGTAGGTTTCTTTGATTTTATCCTACATGGAGTTTATTGAGGTTCTTAGATGTATAAATAATGCTTTTCAAAAAATTTAGAACATTTTCAACCAATATTTCTGAGTGTTTTTCTCCTCCTTTCTCTCCTTTCCTTCCAGTACTCTCAAGATGCACATGTTGGTGTGATTAATAGTATCCCACTTTTCTTTGAGACTGTTCACTTTTCTTCAGTTTTTCCTGCACAGTTGTGATTATCTTCTCCTTGTTTTCCATTATCAGTATCTTACATCCTCAAAATTTCTTTATTAAATAAATCCATATTAATATTTCTGAGGCATTGCTTACACATATTATTTCCCAACTTGAAAGCTTCCAGTGACTCTCCCTTGTCTATACTGCAAATCAGTTTTATAGATTGCCATTGTATGGCTCATCATACCTCATCAGCCTTTTTGTACTCTTCTTCTACATTAATCTTTTAATCTGCCCAATTTGGCTTATCCATTATTCTCTCAACATACTAGGCACATTCTGCCTTCATGTCTTTTCTTATGCTCTCCTAGCCAACTTCTATCTTTTAATGTTTAATCTAGCTTCTAGGAAGTCTTCTGTGAAAATCTAGGTAAGTCTGTTGTAAAAGGAAGCCACAGTTTTATTCTCAACTCCTACAACACTTCATGTCTATCACTTGTTTATGGTACCGCGTGTTGTCATTTTCAAAAATTGTTTTGTTCAGTTTAGTAAATTTTAAGCTTTTTGGTAGTTAGTTATTTCTTTGCGTCTTCCCACTTAATACAGTACTCTGAACATAAGGAAAAGCAATAAATGCAGTTGTTGATAATGTTTTATGCAACATGACATTTAAGCATATTTCAATTACTGACAGGCAATGAATATAATCAAAACAGAAAAGCTTTACCCCCAAATTAATTATTAGAGTTGGAAATTGAAGTAAAACATTAATTAATTAAACAATTACTCTTTTCTACTAAAATCAGTGCATGATAGTGGTGTTTATTGATTGAAAAATAGTAGTTGGTCCCATATATATAAACAACTGCAAATATACTGTTTTGGTCAACTAATGGTTTGGTGATTATTAGAGAAGCTCTGGATAGAAAAAACATCAACTGAGAAGAATGGGTCTCTTTGCTGACTCTGTCATTTCCTTCAGTTCTCTCTATTTCCATTCATTATCAAAACTAGTAATCACCAACCAGATGTTCCTCACCTCTAAGACCACTGTTCAGAGTGAGTCCCTGAGCCAAAGTTGTCTCTTTGTAATGATCTATATTTAATATCAGCAATTGTTTTTCATATATAATACAGTTAATGTCAGCACTTCTTTTTCACATATAATATAGATACTTTTAATCCTATTTACAATGTGAATGATACTGACCAGTATTTTATTATTGGGTTGCCTCTTTAGTTGACATAAAAGAAAGAGAAGGCAATTTCAGAAAGCATGCCATGGAGCAGATAAGGTGTATTCTATGCTGATAGCCCGTTAAGCAAATTGGATAAAATTGTCCTGACATCCTAGTTGGATTTGGCTTTGCCATTCTGAAATTTTAACTTATATGCATGTAAACATCTATCTACATAATAGGTTTCTGTGTCTATAAACAGCTATGGCAATACAAGAATAAATAGGGTACTTATTAAAATAACAAACAAACATATCTTGAAAAACAGATGAATTTTATCAAAATGAGATGTAGAATTATAAGTAAAATCACAACTAGAAAGATAAGTATGTTATAGGCAGAAGCAGCTTTATTTCCATTTTCAACTCTTCTTGATCTTTCATTTAGACTCTTATGGAGTCTGAACAACATAATCCTTCCCTTATAAGAAACTATTATTTTTGTTTTATGCAAATAGAGGACATCATTAAAATTTTAAAAAATCATGAAATATACCATCAGTGTTCATTGTCTAATGGACTTTCCTTTAAATAAATTTGATGAAAATGCAAAGATTTTCATAAGTTTTAAATGGCAAATCTTTCTGCATAAGAAAGGGATTTGCTTGTTTTATAGGTAAAATTTTCAGCCTAGTATGGATTTTCATTATACATTTCATTATGCAGATAAGTATGTATGTGTATGTCTTCAATTCTGAAGTTGTTTATCTTGAAACTTAAATAATTAAGATAACTTTATATGATACTATATTTATACATGGAGAATGTGAAGCAATACAAATATGTTTACAAATAACTTTATTGTTTATATAACAGTCAATTATTAGGGTTCAACAAATTGTTTATAAATTTAACAAATATGTTAGGATGCGTAGAAATGTGTTTATTGTATTATGAAAAACACATAATTACATTTAAAAATATTCCTTTAATTAAGTTTTTAAAATTCTCATGGGTTAGTAGAATTTAAATCATATTTAATAAAGTCCTTTTTCTTTCTTTAGGAAAAACTCAAAGAGAAGGAAGAAAATCTGAATCTTGCAAACCAATTCTTAAAGTAGAATACAAAACCTGTAGAAACAGGTATGCATTTTTACTTTGAGAGTTATGGGAAAATATGTAAGAAACAGAGACAAGAAATTCAGATAACCTTTAATGTTTATATATTGTTTAAAGTTTTACATAATTATATTAACTGGCTGAATCTTCTTCATTGATAATAACAGATTTCTTATTGTTCAAGTGGCAAATGTATTATGTCAACGTTATTATAAATAGCAAATCAGTTATTTTAAAATTTATATGAATATTCAGATGAGTATTATATACATGAATTTTAACAATATAGGGCTTTTGGGCCATGCAATTACAAGCAGCAGTCATTCAACATTATTAAACAGCAGAAGCTATGTACCTGTTGGTATTACACATGAATTAAATACATAACCAAGTCTCTGTACTTTAGGATCTTACATTCTGAAGTTGGAAAGACTATAGTTAGTTGTGAAGGTAAACATTTATGTATATTGCCATAATACAATAGTGCTAAATTTTAAGATACAGAAAATTAAATAAAAAATAATATTTAATAGAAATTTATCTTGTATATACAGCAGCCATATCCTATGCATCAGCAATGTTTATACTTACAGTAATTATTAGTGGCAATACTCTCATCCAGAATTACCATAATTACAAATCTTGCCTAGACCTTAGTTTTATTTTAAGTCTAAATTGGATAATTCTACTTTATATTACTTAAATGTTCACACTAGAATATTTTCCTGTTGTCATAGGTGCATTTAATGTTTGCTTATAGCTGCTCTTCTCAAGGTATAGTAGATAGAAGGATCAATACCTCTTTAGTTCAGCCTAATGTTACTATGTATAACTAGTAAAAATCATCATGATTTTATTACTATTGTAACTAAAGTATTAAAACACTTAAAATTTAATCATTATGGATGAAAATATTTTACATATATTCTTTTCCTTCTTAAATCAGTGTTTATAACTTAAACTTTGCTTGAGTCTTCAGGCTCAATGTTATTTACATCCATTGTTATACAGTGTCACACTTAAAGGACTATTGAAGCAGTTGACCACTTCACACTTATTAACTGTTCCTAGCAGCTTGTGGTTTCTTTTTTTTCTTTTCTTTTCATGTATGTATTTGTTTTTGAAAGTTTTCCTCTATCCTTCAGTTTTGGGCTTTTGGGACTTCTAATTTCCATTGTGTTTATCCACTAGTATCTAGTCTTTTATTTGCTATAGACTAAGAAATTTGAAACCCTAGTTTGTAAAATGAGAATGAAGAGGTTCATGTGAAGGCGTGAGAGGTTTTTCCCTGATAAAGTACATGATCCATGGACTTTATGACATGTATTTTGTTATATATAAATGTATTTTTTATGAGGTGCTCAACAATATGTAGCTTAATTCAATTAAAACAAAATGTATTAAGTTATTACTGCATAATGTGCATTGAGCAATTTGTTTGGCACACTAAAATAGAAATTACCGCCTGCTTTTGAATCTGTTATGGTCTAGTACCAGAAGTAAGCCCGTAAACTCGTGGTTTCTATACAACATGTAAGGTGCTTTTATAGAGACATGCTATGAGAGCACAGCAAAAGGACAGCTAACCTTGCCTAAAGGGAGTAGGGAGGACAACAGTGAAGAGAGAAATCACTGAAATTCTTCTTAGGAAAGGAGATGCCTGAGATGGGATTTAAGGGATGGAAGATAGGATGGTGCCAGATGAAGGGAGAAAAGGGTAAACATGAAGAAAATGTACTTCAGAAATCAAGAATTCAAGGCAAGGCAGTTTAAAATAATGATTAAGATCATTGCGGCACTATTTACAATAGCTAGGACATGGAAGCAACCTAAATGTCCATCAACAGATGAATGGATAAAGAAGATATGGCACATAAATACAATGGAATATTACTCAGCCATAAAAAGGAATGAAATTGAGTTATTTGTAATGAGATGGATGGACCTAGAGCCTGGCATACAGAGTGAAGTAAGTCAGAAAGAGAAAAACAAATACCGTGTGCTAACGCACATATATGGAATCTAAAAAAATAAATTAGAGCATTTTCCCTTTTTTAGCTTACAACACAAATATTTATATGAAAATATTAAGACAGAACTTTAAATAAAAAGTAGTGAAGGCATTTTATATGTAGGTTTTGATGGAAACTTTTTAAAAGGGTTTTTTGTTGTTACTACATAGCCAGCATAAGATTAGCAAATGTCCCTTTGATAATGTTTGGTATTATGTATGATACAAAATGGAAAAGAAAGGGAAATTTTATGGAGTGAGTTCTAGAAACAGGTAGATTCTTCAGTTTAGTAGATGGATAGAAGTGAATTATTTAGAGAAACACGTTCTCAAGGAATTTGGTACAATAAAAGTGTCTAGTTCCTTTAAAAAAATTTTGGAGAGTATTTTCAGTTTGGTCTTATTGAAAAATACTTCATATCAACACACATTTTCTTTTATATACATATACTAGAGATACAGATATTTGAGAAAAGGAAAATGAAAACTTTTGGAGATATTTCATAGCTATGATATTTTATGGTCATTTCAGCCCCACTCTATTATCTAACTGTAACCTGCAGTTAACAGAAATGAAAAAATTTGTTCGAAGTTAGTTTTACAAGCTAAATAGAACTGGCTGACCCTAGGTAAAGTTGAGAAGAAGGTCACATTTACTTTTGGTGAATCATTTTCCCGTTATATATTCGTTTTCTCCATCTGTTTGTCATAACCCTTTCCCACAGAAACTCTATTATGTAGACTTTTCATGTTACCTTCTACCATTCTGGGCTTGCCACTGTCACATTTCATTTCATGTTGAAATTTGCCTCTATTTCTTAGTGATTTGGGGTCCCACATGCCTACTGGTTAATATGATAAAGTAACATAGCCTAATATTCTAATAGTAGTAATTTAGAGTTTGGTAACCAACTAATATATGTGAAGATGTTCTGTTGAGTCAGTCAGCATCTTCCCCTCTCACCAACCTCACTGCCTTTCCCCCATCTCACCTCAACATCTTTAGATTGATTCATTAGTAATTTTAATGGTGAGAATATACATCCAGAAAAAAGGAAATGGTAGAATAGTAAATTGTTGGGTGAGATATTTGGGGCCAGGAAAGGCTTTTACTCTCTGTCAAATTATTGTATATAATCCCTACTAAGCCCATTCCTTTTTGCCTCAATACTGTGAGATTGTGTCATTTTAAAGAACTCAGTCTCATTAACTTTTTTTCCTCTGTAGTGAACCATTCATAATATTTTCTGGTGGGCTGTCCTATGACAAAGCTTGCAGAAGACCAAGTTTAACCATCATGCATGGAAAAGCAATTACAGTGCTTGAAATGGATCATCCTATTGTTGAATTTCTAACTTTATGTGAAACACCCTATCCAAATGGTAAGTAACTAAAATGAAACTATTAATGTTGAAAAATCATTTTTGAAATGATAAGTTCCTAACAAAATTAAGCTTAAATATTTTTAGTTTTAGCAGCTGATATCGACTGTGATACAACACGGTGAGCTACAGGTGCTGGAGCAGGTTCTGCAGCTGTACCTACTTGAGAAAATGGAAGTAAGACAGATGTAGTGCAACAGTGCTGGAGTTTCAGGTTCTAATATCAGGTAAGTGCTTTAAACTTTGATAAGGATGGTGGAAGCTGAGCTGGGAGGGTCCACTCAGGGTCCGGGGTGAAATCACTTGGAGAAACTGAGGTCTCCTAATAGCCTTTCCTAGGCCAGCTCCACCCATCCCAATCCTGTGCCAATCAAAGTTAAAGCACTTACCTGATATCAGTGATCTGTAACTCTGGTGGTGCTGCATCTGTTTCACATCTGGCTTTGCTTCAGATGCAACTGTAGCACCTGTGATTACTCTAGGATTGCTGATGTATGGTTAGTGATTTATTCCAATTTTGAAAATAATTAGAAGAGCCTTTGGGAGGAGAGGTGCTTATGTATTTTTATTATCCCAAATATAAAGACTTCGTAAACGTAAAAAGTCTAAACTTATATGCAAACTGTATAATGGAATCTAATGATGAAATATTTTAATAATGGAATCTAAAAATTGAGAAGGGTGAAATATAAAAAGGGAAATATGAGTTTATGATTACAAAAGGTAGTATGTATATATATATATTACTACATTTTCAAGAGGGAACATAGATGTAGGGAAAGGAGCACTGTACTTGGAGACAGAGTATTTGGGCTTATGATTTAGCTCTGTCACTTACTAGCTATGTGACCTTGGACAAGTCACTTCATATTTACAAGTTTGATTAATCATTTGAAGAAAGAATATAATATTGATACTACATGATTACTGGAAGGCCAAAGGGAATATACCTTATAAACTATGAAGATAAATAGCTATTAGTTTTATTATAAATATTCATTGTTTTAAATTATTGAGTTTCATATTTAAAAACTGAAATAAAGTGATATAAAATAACAATCAGTGTGGCACTTTATTCCCAGAGTTTCCAGGGGCAGACAAATTACTTGTGTTGTAAATTAACCAACAAATATTTATTGGATGCTTCTATGGCCTCAGTATGACAAGAACTTGTTGAGAATATGGATGAAGTATGAAACTGACCTCTGATGTCAAATCAGAAAATCTGGCCACATGAGGAAGATAATTATGACTTAAGTTTAAAAAACATAATGGCTTAATTAAGCGCTGAGTTATACGAATCAGAGTTTAAATAATGTACCAATTTATAGGCTAGTCAGGTAGTCGATGACTGAAATATTCATGCAAAGCTTCATGGAACAAGTAGGATTTAGATAGGGCTTGAAGAATGACTTGGGCCTTGAAAATAATATTGAGTAAAGGTTTTAGAAATTGTGAGGTTTTGCTAGAGTGAGATCAATTCAGAGAAAAATTTGAAAGCCTTTTGTAGGTATTTGGAAATAGGGAACTACAGAGGAATTTTGAGGAAATATTAAGTGAAAGAAAGCAATGTTCTAGTGTGTGGGTTTGAAGAGAGAGACCCTGAAATCTAAAACTTCAGATTCCAACTGGGAGGCTTTTGTGGTAGTATACATTAAAATGGTCAAGATCTGAAACAGAGTGCTGCTTGTAGGAATGGAAGATGAAAACCCATTGAATTTGGTCAACAACTGGATTAGGGAGTGATATGAGAGATGAGTCAAAGACAACATTTTAGGAATAGTGGTTTCATATGAAGTAATAACAGTTCTTGGAAAGAGAGAAAAATAAGTTTGAGTCAGTAGAGTTGTTTAGAGAGCAGAAAAGGAGAGAGAAAAGGTCTTTAATATTTATTTTTGAGTCATCAGAATATAGATGCTCTTTGGAGTTGTGAGAATGAATGATAAAGGAAGAAAGAAAGAAAGAAAGAACAGAGGACCAAAAGCTGAGCTTAGGAAAATGCCTTCTACTAAGGAGCCTCAAGAAAAAAGGTGTGCATACCAGTAATAGAAACTGAAAATGTGCGGTTGCCAAGATCAAACACTATAGGTATATGTGTATATACATTTGTGCACATCAGTAGAGATGTTAGGACAGTTTCTAATAATGTTAAACAAATTATAAATGTACTGTAACCAAGCCTAATCACTTCCAAGCCACATATATTACTTTGCTTTTCAGAGAAGTGGTAATGAGGATGGAACTTTTTACTTACTAGGAGCTGGGAGAAATAGTTTAACTTTACTCAGTAAAATATAAGTGTATTTTATTAACTATTTCTGATTAAAACAATAGTACATGAAAATGCCAGAAAAGAACCCTACAATACACAACAGTATATAGTGAAAACTTTCTCACTGCCCTTCCAGGGGCAACCACTATTACTAAGTTTCTTATGTATTCTCCCCAAATAATGTATGCATATATGCATTATCTTTTTTATACAAATGACAGCATACTCTATATGTTGTTCTGTATCACACTTTTTTCACTTAACAGTATACAGTATTTTGATTATGATTCCATATTAGTAAATATGGAACTTTAATCTCCTTTATAGCCACATAATGATAAGTGTTATGCATATGTTAAACAAAATACACTTATTAACAGTTTTTAATATTGCTGAATCATTTGTGACATCTGACAATTCAGCCTATTTCTCAAAGAACACAAATGCCTAATCCTCTTATCTCAGGGGGCATTGCCCAGAGTAACTAACCAACTATACTCCGAATTTGTCAGTTTTGCATCTATATTTAATTGTATCTGGTCTTCTACAAGTGTCATAAATAATGCATTTCTCTTCAGAGAAGTAGTATTTATGATAGAGCTTTTCCATCTTGTTGGGGGCTAGGGTTAAAAGGCTGAGCCTGCTCATAAACAACCAATCTAATAAAAAAAGTAATACAGTTGGCATCTATTGAGTACTTACTATAAGCCAGCCTTTGCATCAAACATTTTTATATACATCTAATCTTTATTAACAGTCTAAGGTAGTATTATTTTGCCATTTCAATGGGTAGAGAAATTGAAAATCAAAGAAGTTAACTAATTTGCTTAGGATCAAACTGTTAATAAATAATAGACACAAATTGAACCTAACACTGACTCCACAAGAAATCTTTTTATTCAGTGGTTACCACAGCACACCAAGTACTTCTACAAACGTGAAACTTTTGCTACCAGTTTTTATTATTTGAAAAGAAACAATAATCTAAAACAGGTGTTATTACCTAAAATAAAAATTTATTTAAGACTTTTGCTCATTCATGCCAATGTCTCAGCTGTTTTATTTTTGTAGCCATTGCTTCCCAACCAGTGATTTTCCTAGAGAGGGATGAGAAGACAAAGAGGAAACTAGTAGTATTCTTCAAACTGAAAAACAAACAAAAAAATCCCCAAACCCCAAAACGTTTTGAAATAATGTTGAAAACTTAAAACAGCTCTAAGAGATAAGGGAGAAGAGGGGAAATGCCTCAGTTTGAAAAAGTTTGAGTAGCAAATAGTTTGAGGACTGTATACTGTTGTATAAATATGCACCCAAACAAGGTCAGGCTCCTCAGTTTTTGTTCTTTTGTGTTTTTTTGATTCTAGTTTTTCTCTCATAGCTTGTGACTTAAAAAATAAATATGAATAGGTTCTGTAGCTTCTCAGGACTGGAAGGACTGTGAAGGCCATCTATTTTAATTTACCATTCAAGACTTGAATACTCTTGAATACAAAATTCCTGCCAAGTGATTGTTGAGTTTAGGATTAAATACCTCTTAAACTAGCCAGTAGAAACTGCTGGTATAATGAAAACAGCATGCATTAAAGTTTCAGGTCTATAACTTACTAGTTTTGTAACCTTGTGCCAATCTCATAACCTCTTTGGACTCCAGTTTTCTTTATGAAATGAAAAAATGATGATACATGCTCTAGCTACTGAGAATCAAATACCATGTATATAAAATGTTTTTGTAAATACTTTTTTCCTTAAATTGAGCTAACACTGTAACTGTGGCTTTCCTTTATTAGTCCTTTATTACAGATGGAAAGCAATGTCTTCCTTGACCACTATAACTAAATTAGTGTTCCCCCACCAACCAGAAGTCATTTCTTATACTATTACCCTTGTTATTTTTTTCATAGTTCACTTTACTTTCTGAATTAATCTTATTTGTTTACTTGTTCATTGTTTGTATGTACCCCTAGATTGTAAACTTTATTAGAACAAAGACCTTGTCATTCTTATTCCCCATATATCCTTTGTTCTTAAGACAGTTTCTGAAACATCTTGAAGGAAGGAAGGGAGGATGGAGAAAGGGAGAAAGGAAGGGTTGAATTTTAAGAACTTGAAAATCCTAGGCTATCCTCAGACTCTGATTTTTTGAGATATATACTCCTGGGCACATAGTAGGAAGTCTTTAAGTACCTGTTAAATCACATTGAATTGAAAGTAATTTTTTTAGTATAAGGAGTGTTGCTCTCATAGGGAGGTGAATATGTATCACAACTGAGAGAAGCAGAACTGTTTCCTTAGTATATCTCCTGTAGGCATGAAATCAGATCTGAAATGGAAGGTTATGGAAGACTAAGATAAATGTGAGATGGAGGTGACAGACTCACTCTCTTCAAATAATCTACTACTATCATGATTATTGAGATAATATTTAACTCTATGCTATGCAACTTCTCATTTTTTCCTTGTTTCCTATAATGGTCTTAAACATTGTTTGAGAAACACAACATATATATATATTTTTTGAGTCCCACGTTTTTCTTTTTCTCTTTTTTTTTAAACATCTTTATTGGAGTATAATTGCTTTACAATGGACAACATATATTTTTAAAAAGTGCTCTTTGTTACTTCTTATTTTAGCTCATACTTTGGTCTTCTCAAATCATTTAAATAACATTTATACAGGAGATAAAGGAAATACAAGTTTGGTGATTTTATAAAATGTTAAATATGAAAACTTTTCCATTTTTCTTTTCTACTTGTAGAATTTCAAGAACCCTATGCTGTTGCTGTACTTCTGGAGAAAGATCTCATTGTAGTTGATCTGACACAAAGCAAGTAAGTTGTCCATGTACGGATTAACACTATTTTAGACTCTATTTATTGCAATTAAAATATAGGAGGACATTATAGATAATTGGCATTAGAATTCTTTAGATGGTAAATATTCTTTATGTGTAATATTGTTTTGCTAGAATTACAAAAATGTAATTTGGTTCAATAATGAAAACTAAACCAGGAGAGTTTAGGGGACACTGAGAATATTGTAAGATATTTTAAAGGCAACACCTAATGTTTAAAAAGATGCCTTTGGGGACTCCAAACACATAAAATGGATCACATTTCTACTATTTCCCTAAGCAAAAAACAATTGTTACAAAAATTACATAATGTACTGTTTGTCCATCTGCTCTATTGACTAAAGAAAAATGGCACATGATAAAAGTATTATTGAACTACTGTGGCAGACGATACAGAAGATCAGGATCTCGAGGCAAGAGATGATAGATGCCTTCTTTTACTTTCTTTTCTTTTTCATTATGTTGTGGGCAGTAGAAACAAATATTAAATATTGCTGTTAGAGTGGTGCTCTCCACTACTTTACATGTACAGTAAAAGTAGACTTGAAACTGATGAACACTGTCTTCCTGCTACATATTTTCATTATCAATGATGATAGTCATGAAGCTCATTTTCCCTCATTCTTTGTTCTAGACTCACTGATCATTTTTTAGCCCGTTATATTTGCAGAGCTTTTGTACATTCTCTCTTCTCTGCATGGAATAATCTTCCATTCCTTTTTCTCCTTACTAACATCTATAAGAATCTCAACTCAGATATCGTTTTCTCATTAAAGAAAATCTTTCATTATCTGTATAATTTGGTCAAATATCCTATTAAGGGCTGTCTTAGATCCATGTTCCTATCCTTCATAGCTTTGACACAGATGAAATTTTCCATTTGTTATTGTTTTAAAGATTGTCTCCCTACTAGACTGTAGGCCTCATGAAGGACAGGTTTTGTCTCCACATGAAGTAGGTTCTTAATAAATTTTTGTTGGATGAAGTACAGTCTGAGTTTTACTCTCAGTGTAGTTTGTGAATGTAAGAGCCAAAGTTCTTCTTTGTGATAATTTGCATCACATGTATTTCAATATTTTGAAAGGGAATAGGGTTGGTCCATAATATCACCATAACTGAATTCTGCCTAGCTGCTGTATTTATCAGCATAAAACCTGATTAAGTTTTGTGTACGAGTGTGGATTTATGCCTCTTTCTCTAAGTTCTAATATAGGTTTTATTAAAATATACTTTTCTGATCTCACTGGTAGTCACCTCTTCCTTCTGTGCCATATTTGTTGGTTCCTCATACCTTGTCTAATTGTCTAACATCCTCCAAGGCCCACTATACTTTGTCTTTAATACTCACATTCTTTAGCATATACATTTATTCTTTTTAAAACTTTTTTATTGTGGTAAAATACATATAACATAAAAGTTACTATTTTTATACACTAATTCTTATGCTTTTCATTACCTTATATAAATATGTGAATTGACGTTTTGTTTGCACGTTTTTATCTAATATTTTGCCTTCTTCAGCACCATGTTTTAAAATCTATGTGACATTCCTATTTTGTTGTCTATTACAAGAAGTTTAATGTGGAAAAACTGAACATGTTCTCTTTCCCTCCAAATAGTTACTTTTAGCCATGTTTAACGTTAACAATTAAATTGCAGCTTTGTACTCATTTTTCAAATTAATTTATTCCTTCCTTCCTTCTTTTCCAGTTAATCCTCTACATGAAAGCAAGCATTAGGGCTTAAAAATTTTTCCTCTTCTTGGATTTACATCTTTGTTTACATTTCTACAACAACCAGTTCACACTTTCACATGTAAATTTTTGTAATACATTTTTAGTTATTTCTTTCTTAAATGTCATTTTTCTACTCTTTGCCAATATAATAAAGTTATTTTCCCCAAACATTTCCATGATATTGTTCACCTTCTCAGGAGTCTATCATTGTAATCTCTTGCTATTATCAAATCCCAAATTGTAGATCTGATCTTTAAGGTGATGCACTTATTTTACTTCTAATTCTTCAATATCAGAAATATTGATAATTTCTGCTCTGAAACAGGGAACCTCTGATCCATTCAGTTTAAACTACTTGCCATTTATTAAACACAACTTTCTCCTTTCCATGTGATTTTGCATATACTACTATTCTTATCTGGGAAACCATTAAGATTGGAGGGAAGAGAACCGCTGTCAACACACACATACACACACACACACACACACACACACACACACACACACACCAAACTCTTTCTGGTGTTTGAACTAAGTTTCTGATTAAGTTCCTATAATATGGGGAAAATTATTTTTAATAGTCCTCCCCACCCCCCAAAAGCACGCTGTATCAGAAGTAACATGATCACACAGACTGAGAACGGATGCAGCATAGAATAATACTCCATTCCATCTACTACAGTACCTGGTACATCTGGTACATGAGAAGTGTACAATATATTGTGGTTCTAAGAATTCTTAATTTGGTTCTTACTGATACCCCTTTTAAAAATGATATATGGCTTGAGGATATGAAATTTACTACAGCCATAGGTCTGCATTTCCCCTGTTTTCTAGTTTACATAGGAAACAATCTTAAACACGTGTAATCACACACATACCTACATTGCACACACAACTTTCAGTTACTCCCTATAAAAATACAAAACCAAAATACTTGCCTATGTATTATGTCCCTTGGAGAGCATGTAAAATTTTCTAAGATATTTTAATACTTGTATTATATAAATATATAGATAAACTTGTATGTAGATAAAGTACCTAGTTGATAATGTTTTAATAACTGACTGATAAGTCAACTTGCTACATATTTTCAATTTAACATAATTTAGTCTATCCATTTTAGAAAGTGATATCACTGTGCAATTTTGAAATTACTGGAAAGAAAATGAGTTTATTCAAGTAAAATTCTACCAGTATTCATATTACATTTTATAGATATATATTTTTAAAAGAGAATTCTTATTCAGGTGATCATTGTTTTATGATGCTTAAAAAACAATTATGTGAAATATATTCAATATAATCAATATTTAGAAGAGTTTAGGGTTTGTTTTATAAAAGTTATTTCATTTTTATATCAGTGCAAAATGACACTAATATATTATCTTTATCTATTAGCTTTCCTATCTTTGAAAATCCATATCCCATGGACATTCATGAATCACCAGTTACGTGCACAGCATACTTTGCTGATTGCCCACCAGATTTGATTCTAGTGCTCTACTCTATAGGAGTCAAGCATAAAAAACAAGGATACAGTAATAAGGTAAAAGCAACAATTAGAAATTTTCTTGTATTCATATCCATATCATATGATCATACTTTTTTCTGTTATTTTCTGACTTTCCGTAGAAGAAAACTTGAACTAAATTCTTTTCAAGTCATAAGCTGGCACCTATAAAAGACATAATTTCTGAAATTCAAATTTCCTAAATGCTACATAGCTTTAAGTCTACGAGAATATAAATTTCTTATATAAAAAGTATACAATTATCTACTAAGATATACTTACCTATCATATATATTTATATACTAAATATATGTTTAAACTAACATATGCTTGAATCATAAGATGTTACTTTTGATTATTTTAGGTGAAGGATTACGTTTTAAGAAATTCAGGAGTCAACTCTCTCTAGTTATTTCTTATCAATCAATGGTTAATAAGACATAATTGTCAAAGACTTTCATTAAATAACTTTCTAGAATTCCATTTTGTTATATTTAACTACAAGATTCAAATACTTACAATTATAATAGACCCCCCTATTATGATTTCTGTTATTTGAACAGGACTGTTGAGATGGACAACTCCAGGGGGCACAATTTACATAGTATTTTGTGTTAAATGGCACCACCATAGTTTGGAGGTACATAGATTACATGGAAGATGTAGCAACACCACATTTGTATGATTAAAGATACTTCTTTGCATTTTTAATATGAATGGTAATATCTGTTAAAATCTATATTTTTAAAGGATATGAAATTTTGCATTTGGAATTGTTTGTTCAATGAAGGAGTTAAAAAATAGGTACACATTTCATTCTTCATTACTTAACAGCTATTTATTTTTAAGTGAAACTTTTACTGTTATTTTAAAATATTTTTATTTTAAATTTCTATGTTATTTAAATTTAAAAAATAAAACTTATAAATTCTTCCCACATAATCTGTTTAGGAGTGGCCAATCAGTGGAGGAGCTTGGAACCTTGGCACACAGACATATCCAGAAATTATTATTACTGGGTAAGTGGGATGTGATTTATGAGTTTATCAATTTATCATCAAAAAGATTTCATTGAATTTTCACACTTTCCCATAATTGTGCTGTAGGAATGCTGACAGTTTAAATTAAAATATAAGACACAGCTTCTATCCAAAGATTATAACCTTTATAGAAGATAAAATCAAATCATTGAAAACATAGACATATAACAAAAATAAGTAAGTATAGATTATAAGACCAGAAGAAAGTCAGAGATAGAAAAATCATGAGAGATTAGTCAAAGAAGAATTTCTGTAGAAATCATAGATTATTAGCCTTAGACAGGCCCTTACCAATATCTCTTGATTCCATCTAAATCCAGGAATCAGTGCTTTGTATCTCCATCAAGTGGCTATTTAAAGTATACTTCAAAACTTATAGCACCGGAAATGTTGTTACTTCCTATAGCAACCCATTTCATGCTCTAATATTAGGAATGAAAATGGAAACATAGCAACAGATAAAGATAAGACTTAAAAGATCATAAGGAGTTCTGCTTATGAGGTATGGAATAGATGTACTTTTCCCTATTCTTCCCACTAAGTACAATTAAAACCCCTGGATATTATTATAATATGACTGGAAAAGATGGAGAGAAGTCAGACTGGATAGGTCCCCAAAGACCCAAGGAATGACATGGAAGTGAGTTTCCTGGCTTTTCTTTTTGCCTCATATATCCCAGAATTGGAGCTGAAGAAGCTGGCAACCTGGAGCTCCAGGCACAAACCTAAAAAGCCCAACGAAAGCTAGCTCTCTTTAGCCAAAAGGTGAGGAAAGGAGAAGCCTATAAAGACAGTAAACTTTTAGAAAATAATCTTTCTATTATAGCTAACCAACACAGAAAAAAACTATGACTCCACCCCTACCCACTTCATCAAAGGTTGAGTGGAGAGCGTGGACTTTCACCCTCATCAGGCCATAATAAGGTGCCTCAACTTGCCCATGAAGGGGGTGTCAGTTTCTGACACTGAGCTAAGGCTGAGTAGGGTGCTGGGACTTTTAACCCTGCTGAATGGTAGTGAAACTCTTTACCTGTGGTGACAGAGATAATGTGGGGAGAGAATTCCCAGCACTGCCCAGCAGTAATGAGGAGCCATATACCCTCCCCTTTTTTGTCAATGGAAGTCCAGTGAGGAAGGAGGAAAGAACAGAGCTTAAAAAGTTCATAAGGAAATAATGGTTGAAAACTTCCCAAATTTGGCAAAAGACATGAACCTAGAGATTGCAGAAGGTGAGCGAACCACAAGAAATTCACAATAAGACACATCATAGTCAAACTTTTGAATACTAAACACCAAGGAAAAAAATATGAAAACAGCAAAAGAGAAATCACACCTCACCGACAGGGCAAAACCAATTTGAATGATGGCATATTTCCATTAGAAACCATGGAGGCCAGAGGAAACCTGAATCTTTTTCAAGTGCTGAAAGAAAAGAACTGGCAACCTAGAATAATATACCCAGCAAAAATATTTTCCAGGAATTAATTAGAAATTAATACATTCTAAAATGAGGGAAACTAAGAGTATGTCAACATCAGACTACTCTGAAAGAATGGCTAAAGGAAATTCTGTAAACAGAAAGCAAATGATAAAAGAAGGAACCTTGGAATATGAGGAAGGAAGGAAGAACACAGTAAGCAAAAATATGGGTTAATACAATAGGCTTTCTTTCTCTTGAGTTGCTAAAATTATATTTGATGGTTGAAGAAAATATTATGGTTACATTGTTTGATGTGGTTCTACATATGTATAGAGGAAATATTTAAGGTAATTATAAATGGGTGAGGGTAAACTGGTATAAAGAAAGGTAAGGTTTTTATACTTCCCTTGAAATGGTAGTATGATAACACCAGTAGACTGTGACAAGTTAAATGAATATTACAATGCAGTACCTAAAGCAACGCTGTAAAAAGATCTGGGCTAAGAGATACACTGAAAAACATTATTGACACATAAAAATGGATGTACTAAAATAATTCAATTAACCTACAGGAAAGCAGGGGGAAAAAAACAGTGACAATAAAAGAGGGAAAAATAGAAAAGAAAAAAAAAAGACGGACTTAATTAATCATGGAAGTGTTAAGGCTTAAATGTAAATGGTCTAAATACATCAATTCAAATGCATTGATTAGCGGAGTGGATTAAAAAACATAAACCAACGCTATGCCATTAACAATACACTCACTTCAAATACCACAGTATAATCAGGTTTAGAGAAGAAGGACAGAAAAATACTTTATAAAAGAATCAATGGAGGGCTTCCCTGGTGGCGCAATGGTTGAGAGTCCGCCTGCCGATGCAGGGGACACGGGTTCATGCCCCGTTCTGGGACGATCCCACATGCCACGGAGCGGCTGGGCCCGTGAGCGATGGCCGCTGAGCCTGCGCGTCTGGAGCCTGTGCTCTGCAATGGGAGAGGCCACGACAGTGAGAGGCCCGCGTACCGCAAAAAAAAAAAAGAATCAATGGAGAGTGACATCAGCAAGATGTCAAAATAAGTAGCCCCAGACCTCGTTCTCCCACAGACACACTGATGCAACAATATATGGTCCAAAAACCTTTATGAAAACTCTAGAAACCAATTAGGAAATCATAGTACCCCAGGGGAGCTCAAAGCCAAGAGTAGCCACACTGAAATGGGTAAAAACAGCCATTTTATTTCAACTATATCAGCTTCTTCCCCAAATTGGCACAGCTCTTGTTCAGGAGGAATCTTCTCTCATGAGAGGGAAGTAGTGGAGTAGACTGTACATCCAATGTTCCTGCTTTTCAGGGGACTTCCAAAGAGACTAGTTTTTATCTCCCCTGAGTCAGAGTACTGATGGAACCTGGATGCCTGGGGGCTGCAGAGAACAAAAGAGAGCTCAGTGGCTTATTGAAGTGCTAAGAAACTTGCAGAACTAAGACAGATAATAGAAGGAGCAAGAGATGCAAGCTCCTGAAAAAGAAACCAGCAAACCTCTCTAATTGGGAAATTACACATACAGTCCCAGAGAAGATGCATCCCCATTGAAGGTTTGAGAGACCCCAAGGATCTTGAGCTTGGAGAAGGTCTTCCCCTGTATAAAGCCGTCCATAACAGGTGGCTGTTTTCCAAATGCTAAATTCACAGTAAAAAATAACAAGGTGCAGGAAGAAACAGACAAACACAACCCAATCAAAGGAACAAGATAATTATCTAGAAACTGACCCTAAACAATTTGGTATCTGTGAATTACCTGACAAGCAGTTGAAAATAACTGTCTTAAAGAAGCTCAATGCATGAAAAGAGAACACAGGTAGACAACTAAATGAAATCAGGAAAATGATGTATGAATGAAATGAAAATATCAACAAAGAGGTAGAAACTTTTAAAAAGAACCAGAAAGAAACTCTTAAAGAGAAGAATACAATAACTGAATTGAAAATTTTACTAGAAGGGATTAACAGCAGATTTAATCAGAAGAAAGAACCAGCAAACTTGAAGATAGGTAATAAGAAATCACTGAGTCAGAGGAACAAAAGGAAAAAGAATGAAGAAAAGTGGTGAATGCCTAAAGGACTTATGGGAAACCATCAAACATACCAGTATAGCATTATGGAAGTCCCAGAGGACTAGAGAGAGAATGGGACAGAGAACCAATTTGAAGAAATCTTGGCTAAAAACTTCTCAAATCTGAGGAGGTAAATGGACTTCCATATTCATTGGATATGTATCAGAATATTCTAATGAGGATGAACCCAAAGAGGTCCACACTGAGACACATTATAATTGAATTGTCAAAGACAAAGAAACAATCTTAAAAGCAGCAACAGAAAAGCTACTCATTATCTGTATGAAAAATGTCATGAGATTATCATTGCATTTCTCAGCAGAAATATTACAGGCTAGAAGGGAGAAGGATGATATATTTAAAGTGCATAAAGAAAAAAGAAAAGTCAGCCATGGGACACTATATCTGGAAAACTGTACTTCAAAAAAAAAAAGGAGAAATAAAGACCTTCCAAGATAAACAAAAATTGAAACCAGGGCTTCCCTGGTGGCGCAGTGGTTGAGAGTCCGTCTGCCAATGCAGGGGACACGGGTTCGTGCCCCGGTCCAGGAATATCCCACGTGCCACGGAGCGGCTGGGCCCGTGAGCCATGGCCGCTGAGCCTGCGTGTCCGGAGCCTGTGCTCCGCAATGGGAGAGGCCATGACAGTGATAGGCCGTGTACTGCAAAAACAAAAAACAAAAAAAACAAACTGAAACCATTTATTACCACTATACCTGCCTCACAAGAATTGATAAAGGGAGTCCTTTGAGTTGAAATGGATGAACACTAGACAACAAAATGAAAGCATATGAAAATATAAAGCTCTCTGGTAAAAGTAAATACACAGACAAAAACAGTATCCTGTAACACTGTAGTGGTGGTGCATGAATCACTTTAAATTCAGGTATAGAATTTAAAAGATAAAAGCATTTTTAAAAACTATAACTATAGGAGGGAAAGCTTCGGAGCCGCAGAGGAGAGCACAGCAACAGGGGTGCGGAGGGCAAAGCGGAGAGATTCCCGCACAGAGGATCAGTGCCGACCAGCACTCACTCACCAGGCCGAGAGGCTTGTCTGCTCACCTGCAGGGGCGGGCGGGGCTGGGAGCTGAGGCTTGGGCTTCAGTCCGAGCGCAGGGAGAGGGCTGGGGTTGGCAGAGTGAACACAGCCAGAAGTGGTTAGTGCACCACGGCTAGCCGGGAGGTAGTCCGGGGAAAAGTCTGGACCTGCCGAAGAGGCAAGAGACTTTTTCTTCCCTCTTTGCTTCCTGGTGCGCGAGGAGAGGGGATAAAGAGCGCTGCTTAAAGGAGCTCCAGAGACGGGCGTGAGCCGCAGCTAACAGCGCGGACCCCAGAGACGGGCATGAGACGCTAAGGCTGCTGCTGCCGCCACCAAGAAGCCTGTGTGCGAGCACAGGTTACTATACACACCTCCCTTCCAGGGAGCCTGTGCAGCCCGCCACTG